GACTGGCGGGAGTTCTGCGAGCTGCACGCCCAGGCGGCCGCCGTCGACTTCGCCCAGAAGTTCTGCCAGTTCCTGAAGGAAAACCCCCACTACGACACCCCCGGCGCCGAGGCCTCCTTCTCCCACCACTTTGCGGCCAACTTCTTGGACATCTTCAGCCTGGAGGTCAGCCGGGTGTTCGTGTCCGACTCGCCCACCAAGTACAACATCGTGCCCTTTGTGGGGCTGCAGAACTGCCACGTGCCCTACGGGCGAGACGTCGCCCAGAGGAAAGAGGAGACCTCCATGGAGTCACTGGAGAGCATGGACCACCCCCTGGGTGCCCACAGGTACCTGAGCCCGTCGCAGCAGGCGCAAGCACGCAAGGTGTCCTCCTACGGCCAGTCCCGCAGCTCAGAGGATGTGTCTGTCCATGCCACCTCCAAGCCCAAGTTCAAGAAGGGCTTCTCACTGAGGAACATGAGCTTGTGTGTGGTGGATGGCGTGAAGGAGATGTGGCATCGGAAGTCCTCCCCGGAGCCGGGCGCCGAGGCCGTGCAAAGTGGCAGGAGGGCCGAGAAGGAGCCGTGGCCGGCGGGGAGCAAGGAGCATAGCGACCCCCGGGAGAAATGGACCCACAAGCTGCGGCTTTCCAAGGCGCAGTCCTCCAAGGTGGAGCTGGTGGACATCCAGAGGGAGGGGACCCTCCGCTACATGGTGGCCGACGACACGAACTGTGTGGGGAGCTCGCAGTGGCAGAAGTGCCGCCTGCTGCTCAGGAAGGCGGTGAAGGTGGAAGGGGAGAGGTTCCTGCTGGAGTTTTACGTCCCTCCGAAGGTAAGTCCCAAGCCAGCTCCCTGCGAGGAGCCTCCTTGCTCAGCACCCTGCTCGGTCGGCTCCGCGGGGACACAGCTCCCGCGTTCATAGCTGTCGCGCTCCTCGGTCCTCGGCGAAGGGTTTTCAGGTGACAGTGGTTCTTCAGCTCTTGGCGTTGTCCTGGAGGATGATTCTCCTTCCCCGTTTCAAGGTGGTTTAGCGTCCTCCAGGTCTTGGTCCTCTGGTCAGTGAGATGTCACCTGGTGCTTGCGCTTATCCTCCTGTGCCGAGCTCCTCCGTGTCGTGTCTGCTGGCTTTTCTCCGCCGCTGGTTTTCTCAGCATTTGAGCAGCAGTTACAGTTTCTTCAAGGTGGGTTTTTCCCCCCACCCCGGCTCCTGCGCTGGGATGAAACCCAGCTCTGGTCTGTGAGTGACGGGGCCGAGGCCTTCGAAACCGCTCCCCTGGGAAAGCCCCGGCTGCTGCCGCCTGCCGTTGGCGCTGGCTGCGGCCGCTTCGCCCCTGCGTGCTGCTGGGCAGCGCCAGGCTTCGTCCATCCGGCGCTGAAACTTTCTTCGTGTTTTCAATCTCAGTGGGTCACTAGTCCACTTTCCGAAAGCTTTTTTTTTCCTTTCGAAATAAACCCTTTGGGATAACTCTGCACCTGCAAGGTGCCCCTCCGGCAGGGCTCTTTAGTAACGGAGCCAAAAAGCGCCCGTGCCGTCCTGCGCCGGCAGCGCTCGGCTGAGCGTCGCTACCACGGGCTGGTTTTGCAGCTCACCTCCCAGGCAGTCTCGGCTATCTATCCTCCCGCGCAGAGAAGCGCCTATTATTGGCGTTAACATCCGTGATACCGCTTTTCCTTGCCTGCATCTGCTGGAATCTCAACGAAAGCATCCAAACCAGTTTTCACCGCGGGCGGCTCTGGGCTGCAAGGAGCACGCGTTTCCTCTGGGCGCCTCCCTTCCCGCCGCCGTCTCGCCCCCGCCACCTTGGCAGATGACGCAGGGAAATATCGTCCCCTTTCCTCCTGGGGGAAAGGCTGGGCGGCGGAACGGTTTGCCCAAGAAACGTGCCTTAGGCATAAGGGGATTCGCCTTCGACCTCCGAAAGCTCCCCCTTCGCGCCGCGAGAGCACCTTGCTCTGGGGATGAGCGAAAGGACGCGCTGCGCCGCCCAGCCCTTACCTGCGCCGACGCCGCGCTCGCGCCCGTTACGCCTTGCGCGTCCTCATCTTTGCACAGCACCGTGCAAATATTAAGCGATTCCCCTGGGGTTTTTACCAGCTGTCTGTGCTGGTAATGAAATCTCAGGTTATTTAAATACTTAGGGAAGAAAAAAAAAAAATCTCATTTACTTTTCTCCAGGATTTTACCGTTTGTATTTCGGGCTGCAGCAGCGAAGCCGGGCTGGTGCGAGCCCTTGAGCTGGGCCGC